AAATTATAATAATTAAAATTTTACCATACAATTGAAATTAAATAAAACAAATCACAAAAATAAGTACGAAATTACATATCTGAAATACATAAATAATGGTAGTTAATTATCGGTCATATCATGACCAAACATAATTGAAAAATTACTTTCTATTTCATCCACCTACACAATTGTCAACTATAACCCAATCTCATTTCTTTTATCATTCATCAGTAATTCAATCCAATCTAAAATATTATTTTGTAAAAATTATATATTTAATTTTTTAATAATTTTTAATTATTATTTTTTTAATTCTAAGTATAAAAAATAGATTTTGGTATTGAAACAAAGAGAAAGATTGGTGTGATGAAAATATGTCAATATTGAACTATGTTTGTAAGGAACTGAAAATTATGGATTTTGGTATATTTTTTAATTTTTCTTGTTAAAGTCATATTTTATCAGATTAGTTTTATCCTACGAAAAACTAAAGTTTAACCAATATGAGTATGCCATGTGTCACATAATTGAAAAAAGGGAAGGGTCGATCCAGGTTTTTATGGTGATCAAGTTTGGATGAGATTGCACATTTTTTTCTTAAATCTTTTTGTCTTATTCACGATCAGATTGGTTGAGACCGTAACTAAAAACAGTCTTAACTAGATAACAGATGTAATCACCTAAAATGACATTTATATATTACCCAATTCTAACATTGCATAACATAAACCACAAGGGTGGTGTTTGATTGGTTTGAGTTTGGGCTCCAAAGGTCAAAGTGCCCGGAAGTTCAAATCCAAGGAGAAATAAAAATCCTCATGTGGCCACGAAGGTTCAAATGTGGTAACTCCGGGCTACCCGCAAAACAGGTGGTTGTCCTGGGGTTAGTCGGCTCGCATAGCGGGTTGGATATCTAGGTTAATAAAAAAAAACATTGCATAACATAACTGAAACTGTTAGTAATACATGTTATCATTTAAAATAAGTAGTAACAAAAATAAACAGTTTTCCAAGTATACAAGTTTAATAACCACTACTTGCATTCAATTTCATGTTCGTAACATTATTACGAATTTTTGGCTTCTCATATCGTGATCCTTGCATGTTAAGCAATAGCAGATTTGGGATTTTTATTCTGTTGATGCACTTTTAAGGTGGATCAAAGACATGAAAAGTCATGGTTTGACCCGGAAAAGTTAATTGTGTCGATTTGGAAAACAAAATACGTGTTCCTAGTCGAATTACACCGTTTCGGAGGGTGTTTTTTTTCCAGTTTTTTGGTTGATTTGGTAAATTTTTCCCAATTTTTAGGATTTAGTTCTTGTTATCCTTTACTTTTTTCTAGGTTTCTAATTTTTATTTTCTTGTGCATCCAAGACTTAGGGGTTGTTCGGTTGCGGCTTGACAGGCTATATAAGCCATATGGCTTATTCGCACAACCATTTGTTGTTGTTCGGTATGGGCTTATTCGATCAACCCATGGCTGAAGTGCTCGGCTACAAAACTTGTGTCCTCTGTTTTCAGACATTAGATTCCCCCAGCGACTCCTCTCCCTCAACACTCCATCATCACTCCTCCCTTGAAACTTGTCTCACCAGTCGTCCCTGCCCTTCGCCTCACCATCATCGCCCGTTGATGCCCTTTGCCTCACCATCGCCCGCTGTCATTGCCCTTTCCGTCACCGTCACTGGCTGTCGTTGCCCTTTGCCTCACCATCGTCGTTGGTCATCTGCCTTACTGCTCATTCCTTCGATGTAAATGTTGTTATTTGGTGAAATTGTGATCTATAATGTTCAATGTAAACCAAGGGTAAAATAGTCATTTTCATCATTCAAAATTGTTTGTTCAATACATCAACAGAACAACAATCTAGCTAGATCCATACAGACAACGTTAACGATACAGACAAGTTTATCCATACAGGACTTAATGAAAAACCAACCGAACATCCCCTTATTGTATTAAATAAGATGTTTTGCAAATTGAAATTTAACACAAAAGACGTCTTAGAGTGGTGTCACAACGGTTAATTTGGCGACGAAACCAAGTTTCAACGTCATAACATGCCATAACAAGTTATTTATAACCCATAGAAAAATTTATTATTGTTCAAAGAAACTAAGGGGTTGTTTAGTCGGGTTTCTCATTAGGTCTTTTACGGATAAAGTTGTCTGTATGGATTAATCTGTCTATATATATATATATAAGATTTTTGTTTGGGAAAGTTTTTCATGAAGGAGCATGTTTTTTAATTGATAGAGGTAAGCTTGTAGAAAAAAAAAAACTTGACTTTTTACATAAAATTTCTCGTTAAAATCTTATTGAATAAGTCATTTTTTATATCTTTAAGCCACTATCAAACAGTCAGTATAGCTGATCGAATAAGTTGTGAGTCTCGTTAAGATGTTAACAAACATATCATAAAATTGAATAATTTTTGTATATTTTAATATTAAATTTATATATTTATTTAATAAAAATTCAGGTTTAATAAATTTTATATTTTTGTTCGACTTTTGAGAGATGTTACCTTTTGACCTTTTTTATTTTTAATTATTTTTACATTTATAATTTAATATCGATTCAGTGTGCTAAACACCATTGTTTCATTTTGTTAAATACTAGCATGGATGAAAACTTTATCCATCCATCGGGGTGGGTGCGTTAACGGGGCGGGGATTCCTCGTTTTGACGGAAAAACGGAGTGGGGACCGGGTTTTGTTTTTATATCCGAAGCAGTCAGTAGGGGCAGGACGGGGGCGGGAATGGCATTATTCATCCCTAATTAGATAACCCGATTAATTTTTTTTTATTAAATATATTTATATGTATAATGTGTGTATGTATGTATGTATGTATGTATGTATGTATGTATAGGGAAAGGTTCATTTGAGAAGTAAAGAGTTGATTCTAGCTCTTCATCTGGTCAACATTTGTGTCTTTTACGATAAAACATTGGATAATTTCTCGTATGGGTATGCGAAAGATAGAAGAGTAGTTTCATAACTTTTATCAGTTAATTAGTTCATATGTGAATTACACGGGTTTATATGTGAATCAGTTAATTAGTTCATTTGTATTGTTCATATAAAAATCCCCTTGTGGCCACAGATGTTCAAATGTGATGACTCCAAGCTACTCGTAAAACAGGTAGTCACCTTGAAATTAGTCGGCTCGCATAGCGAATCAGATATCCAGGTTAGTAACATTTTATATTAAATGCTTGAAATATCCATATGTAGGGGTGAGCATAGGCGGGTACCCGCCCTATTTGACAGGAACCGGAACCGGTTAGAGCGGTTCTTGAATTTTTGGAACCGGAACCGTCGGTAACCGGTTCCGGTTCCAGATACACACTTCCTAAAATATTAAAATTTTGTTATTTAGAAATAAAAAATAAAACATTGCCAAAACACTAAATAAATAAACAAGAATACAAATTATACGGAATAATGCTTACAAACATTGTTTAACGATTACAAACCATAATAGACTAATAGTAAATGTTGAAAGTTTAACGATTACATACTATAATTGTAAAGGTTCAAAGTTTAACGATTATATACTACAATTGTAAAGGTTCAAAGTTTAACGATTACATACTACGATTCCAATTAAACACACAATTTGAAAAAATACGAATCATTTTATCTCAAATTCTGAATCTAGAGTTCTAAGTTCTTGACCTAATTTAAATTTAGTATTAAAAAAATTAATTATTATTTTTTAATTGAAAAATACCGAATACCCGCCGGTTCCGGGTACCCGGTTCCGGAACCGGTTCTGGCGGGTAACGGTTCCGAAAAATTGAGAACCGGAACCGGAACCATTCTCAATCGGTTCCGTATTTTAGGAATCGGAACCACTCATATAGGTTCCGATTCCGAAACTGACAGTTCCAAGGCAGATCCAGTTCCGCAAGTGAATAACTGGTTCCGCTGCTCACCCCTATCTATATGCACTTGTTTTAGATTATATTGGATTTGTAAAATGTAAGTGATTTATGTAAAACAATTATTTAATTTTTAGGTGTGTTCATTTATTTCAAATACATTTTATTTTGATAATTGGTCAAATCAATAAAACGTAGTCAACCAATTTAATAATTAGCCTAAGATATAATCAAACATTTATAACATCATAAATTATTAGATAAATCATTATTCAAAATAATACTCCATTGTCCATTCTACCCTTAAATTATAAGATAGATAATGAACTGTTCTCTATTGTAAGGGATAAAATTGTCTTTTGAGTAAATAAAAAATGTAATAATTATATATTTCTAAACCTGTACATCATTTTTATTGCGGACATTTATTTTGAAAAGCAGTATTTAAAAGATTAAAGTGTCTGCCCCATCAATTTAAAAAAAAAAAAGATGTATCAAAATTTTTGTTGACAAACAAAGAATCATATTGTGGTAATTAGTGCAATGATATCGGTTTGAAAAAATAATATCAGGCTCGAGTTCGAATATTCTTTTCAGTGTTTGAGCTCGAGCTCGATGCTCGAACTCATATTCGAGATCGAATAATTCATTTGTTTACTCAAGCTACTTTGATTATATAATTTGAAAACATATAAATATGTTTGGCTTGAAAAAGTGTATCCATGAATGACTTGGTTCAATTTGACTCGACTCGTAAGGTTTAATCGGGTTTTCAAACGAGTCGAGCATCGGTGTTTTGAACCTCGACTTGTTAAGTGAGCTTTATCTTGTGTTGGAAATCAACTTGAGCTCGATAATTATTAAGCTCGAGCTCGACTCGTTAAAACACCCCCCCCCCCTTGATTGTGTCCAGTGCTCCCTATCTGCCCTTAAAAATCTGAAGGACCGTTCAAACAAGGTTAGAATCCACAAAAATGGATGAATCCGAATTCCGAAGCTTTCGCAACACGACCATTGCCTTAACACCCCGTAAGTTTTTTTAATACAAAACGACCAAAAACCGACCAAGCAAAACAAGAAATTGTTCGAACAAGATGTTTCAGGTGACGGGAAAACATCAGATTACTCAGCTTTTAGCAGGAAACCAACCGGCTCGTATTTCCTCAAACGAATAATCAACACCATCAGCGCCACGAGGAACAAAAGGCGTTGACGGAGTCATAGCCATTTTCATCGAGGTTGTTGCTGGAGTCGATGGCATCGACGGTATCATCGTTTTTGGAGTTCTCAAGTGGTCTTCATGATCAACAGATGATATGAATGTCTTTGGAGTAGCAGCAGCCATTGTGGCTTTGTTGATCAGAAGCGTTTTTTGGAGAGTTGGGTTCCGATCATGAGTATTGACAGATGTAACGTTGGCATTGGACGATAACGATGAAGAAACCGGAGAAAGGGGTTTTCTAGCAGATGCTGTTTGGATTTCATGTTCATTTGAAGCTGAAAGATTTGAACTGCCAAAGTTTCTCTTGCCTGCAAAGAGGTTCACAACAAATAGTTACAAATCAAATAAGTCCAGTATATCCCACCCAAAGATAAGGCTTTGGGGTTTAAGATGAACGTAGATCCGACTTCTACCCTAAAAGTAGAGCGGTCTGTTTCCGTGACCTAACTTCTATCCTAAAAGTTACAAAGAGGTTCAGAACAAATAGTTACAAAACAAAACCAAATCAAACGAGCGTAATATATTCTATCTGGAGGTGGGGTCTTAGGGATTTAAGATGTATGCAAATCTGACCTCTAAGACACTTGGGTAGAAAAGCAGATACACTAAACATTGAAAAATGAAAGCAATACATATAGGAATAGAGATAAAAAAGACAAATGTACTAAAGTTTGACAAAAACAAATAGTTTACAAGAGAGACAAAAAAGGAGGTTTGTTTATTTATCGACCTATTTTTTAAACCATCTTATTTTTCTTTTTAGAAAACAACGAAAAGAAAAACGCGTACTGTACAACAAGAAGATTTAAATGTATAACTTCTTTAAGCCGTTCGAGACAAACTTTCAGAAGTTTTAAGAAGTCTAATTTCAAGAATTATAATCTTTTTGTAAAATCTAATAGAGATTCGGGTTTTCTAAGTTATTGGGAAGAAACATGAATAGTGCATAGTAAAGCAGGACCCAATACATTGGCAACTCGATGTCCCATCATATGAAATGGGTTCAATGTCCAGTTATGGAATCCTTGAAAAAAAGGATAAATCGAAATATAGTTGCTACACCAAAACGAGGCTCAAAGAACCAACCAGACTGACATACCGGATAAACCAGGAATACAGAAACAAAAACGGCAATTGAACTAAAGAATCCAATTGCATTATAAGTTTGCGATTGAAAAAAATCCAGGCAAACAAAACAACGTTCTTGTGAATATACAAAAAGAGAAAAAACACCGAATTTTGCAAGAATAAAGACTTTGGAAATACGGAAATGTAGATGTTAAAGGAAAAACACTGTACTTAAGACTTTTATCTATAATTGATTGTTCTTACGAAATGAAGTCTTCTTTGATTTTTCATAAGAATGATAATTTGTTAGCGGGCTAAGCACTTCTTCGTTTTATATGTATTTTCATATTTTGTTTAACTTGAGGTTAAGTAATCGTTATGTAACTGTGATCTATGTCCCATCTTACCTAGATTAAAATTTGAGCCCAAGCTCAAACAAGCCACAAGCCATTCCCATGAGCAAGTTTCAGGCTTGACTCAATTCAAATAACCCCTAATGGCATAGATGCACAAGGCCCGGGCTTTTGCAGGCCCCGTCCCAAGCCTTCCAAGCCTTCATTTAGTAAGCAAATAAAGGTTTGTGCCTTTAAAAGGCCAGGCCAGGCTAGGCTAGGCTTTGGGTGTGAAAATGGACCAGGTCGGGGTTTTCCATACCTTTTCAATCTAGGTATTATCCAATCTCGAGAAAAATACTTGCCTTAGTCAGGCTTTTTGGCCTGACCTGGGCCCAGGTTTATTAGGGTCGGGATTTTCGCAGCTTTTTTGTGCATCTTTAGTATGAGCATAACATAGAAGAAAATAAAATGGAAAAGGGGAAAAGTTGAGAAGTACCAGCAGGGATTTTAGCATGAATGCTATTGTGGTAACGATTATGTAGATTGCTAACGTTTGAAGAAAGAGCAGTCTGATTGTGCTTAGGAGTTTTAAGCATTGCCCCAGCAACTGAATTTCTTCTATCGTTAGAACCCCCACTCGGTGCTTTAACAACCCTTTTCCCACTCTTAAATGGACTCGGCTTCGACCCAAAACGTACTTCTTGCTCTGCTATCAACTGTCCCTGAAGTTTCTTCTGATCCTAGTTTCAAAAAGGGGGAAATTAGAGAGCAAAAAGAAAATGAAAAGCAAAGAGAAGAAACGTGCATGATTCTTTACCCTCATCCTCTGACGTTCTTGATCTTTCTCGTGTTTTAGATGGTCATAGTCATCGAGCATCGAGGGTAAAAGAACCTGGAGATCAATGAAGCAATAAACACATTTATGGGGTTCCATGAATTCAACCAGAAATGGGCCAAACTTGCATGCAATTAGTTTCAGCCTCACTTGAGGTGGTTTACCAACACAAATTGGGTAAGTCTTAACTGAGTAAGAGTGCGGTTTGGATAAGAAATTCGGTCTGGTAAGTGCCGACTGAAAATGGTTGTTTAAGGGTCTGTTTGTTATTTGTTAGTAGCTTAATGAACTTAATAGGACTAACAGCTGTTCGGTAAGCTATACATGACCCTTTGTTAGTGGCATAATGATATAGGAAATGACTTATTTAGTAAGTTTTTAGGGACTAGGGGGAGTTTTATGCAGAAAACCAAGTTTTTTCCAAAAAAAAAAAAAGACACTTCTCCCATCTATGAAAAAAACCCTCATAAACAAAAAATGTTATGAATATATACAGACAGATTAATCCATTCAGACAGTTTTGTTCATGGAGGACTTAACGAAAAATCAACCAAACAGCCGCTAACTAGTATCGGGGTAAATGTTGACCGAAACACTGACTAGGGTAGAAAGCAATCCCTTTCTTACTGGTCAGCATATTTGTTGGTCAGAGTTTGTTGTGATACAGCATCCCTTTTTACCAGGTAAGAACCTCTTACTCCGTAGGAGGCAGTCAGCACAACCCCTTAGAGAAAAGTAAAAAACAATGCATGCCTGTTGAATTTTAACAAATGATCAAAGTGCTTACACCATCGTAGGAAAATGCAACTCCGCTATTTTGCTCCCATGCTAGGGCTTTCTCACGCAATGTCTCCACCATAGCTGGTTTGATGCAAATCCAAACAATCATATCATGAAATGCAAAAGGGAAAAGAAGTTACCAAAACCCTTTTTTACATTAAATTACTGTCCAAAAAAGCCCTTAAAAAGAGAAAGAAGGTTCCAACGTATATCGATAAAGAAATGATCCAAGTCTAGCCGACGTGGACTCTACTAACCTTGTTCTACCTTAAAAGTAATATAATATACCACTATTCAATGACGTTCGAGGCACATTGTATCCTGCGTTGTTTGACTATTTGTCAAATGTCTAAAATATCTTTTAATAACGATAAAGTTGGAAGAATCTTGTGGAGCTAATATCATTATCATCATTTCTTGAAATGATAGTTGCGTGAAATAGATCCGAGAGAAAGAAAAAAGTGTTTTAGATTTTATGGGATACATGGGGATGGGGTAAGAGGTTACGTGCTCCTAGTTTCAAGTAATCTAGTAGCCGACAAAAAAAATATTTTTGGAATTGCAAACATTTCTTTTTTAAATGTCCCATGCAAATAAGAACGTGTTTGTCTTTGGAAAGTTTTCATGGTAAATTTCCTTAGTATTGTTGCCTTTCAAAAAAAAATCCTTAGTATTAATTGATTATACTGATAAGGGTTCTACAAGATACTTCTATTTTGTCTTTTTTTTTGGAAGGCACGACTAACAATGGTAAATTGCGACTGTAAGATATCAACCCCGATAAACTCAAGGGCTATAATTGTTGTGACTCTATATTGTCTTTATTGAAAGGTATTTTGGATATTTAACAAATATCGAAACAATTTTATTAAACTATGTATCAAGTCAAATGTTGTAATTTCTATGTGGCGAAGGTGTAATTATTAGCAATGAATCAAACATGCATATTTACTCCTATGCTCACTAAGTCAGTATTGTCTAAGCAGAGTTATTTTCAAGTAATCTAGTAGCCTACAAAGTATAACTTTAAGTTATATTTGGTAATACTTTATTCCATAAAAGAATTGCAAAAAAAATTCTTTTTCTAAATATCCCTGGTAAATTAGAACATTTTTATTTTTGGAAAGTTTTTATGGTAAAATTACTCATTTCTTATCATAGTCATTACAAATAAAATGATTATACCTACTTGGGTCCACAAGATTCCTCTATTTTGTCATTGCTGAAAGGTATTTACTAAACTATGTGTTAAGTCAAATGTTCTAATTTTTACAAAACAGATAATTAATGACTAAGAATGAATCAAACATGCATAGTTACTCCTGATGGAATAGCAACCTTAGGCATAAACACTAAACTGTAAACGACTTCCTCATCCATAGTTAAAGAATAGGGCAGTTAAGAGTCATACCAGGAATTTTATCAACCAGGATCCGGGCTCTCTCAGCGCGCTTTAGAAGGAGATGGGTACCTCTTCCAGAATTATAACGATTGTGATCCTATAGTGCCAAAAAAGTTTAACAGAAAAAGCATGATGGAGAACTACGGCAACGAAGGGTCATTGGCCCGGCGGTACATGGGTTATCTGTAGAACCCAGCCAGCCTCCCAAAAGTGTGCGTAAATATTTGTCATACATAAATATCATATACTTGAAAAACATTAAAAGAAATGATAACATACCCTGTTGTACTCTTCTAACCAGGTTTCCTCTTCACATGCCGCTAGCCACTTATCGATCTTTTCAAGTATGTCTTTCCTACTGGAAGCTTCCTCCTTGGCCTTCGAAATTTGAAATTCTACTTGTTCTAACAAGTATAAAGGATCAATATCTCCTGTGAGTGATAATGATGCCATTCGGTAAATAAGTCTCGAGAACACTACTAATTTGAGCTAGGCACATCAGCACCAGAAAGTTCAAAAGCAAAGAAAAGTCGTAAAGATACAATAAACCACTTTCCATTTTCCTATCTCAAATAGTTAAGTAAAATTAGCATCTGTTGAGAATAAGGAAATTTTGAATCATAGAACAGGATTTAGGGGAAGTATGCTGCATGATGGAAAATTTTAACTTGTGCATGAATGTAGGATATTTTTCAGAATTAATTTAATATATGCTCAATTTATTTCTAACGAGTGTATATGACTCGATGCATGGTCTGCTTGAGGGTGTACCAATGGAAGATATGGATCAAGGCTCCCAAATATTTGAGGGACCAATCATACATATTTTAGTCGTTAGCGCACTTATACATGTTTTAACCCAATTATAATGTTTTAGGTGTTAACTCTTTTAGCTGATTCCCAATTCCGGCACCTGCAATCCCTACTTCTAAGTTATGGTATAGGTTTAACAGGGCCTCCAAAAAGATTAAAACAACCCCATCCTAGTTAAATGTGGCCAACAACTGAAGGGGTGTTTTCCTTTTAACAAAGTTGCTTCCTCCTTGCTAGCCATATACATTAATGTTGATTTAGTGAACTTTTAAGCTGCTCTCTCAATGTTTATTTTCTCCAATGCTAGACTAACCTAGCATTAATGTACCTTCGATGATAAGACTTTTACCAGATTCTAATGTTTCAGCAGAAAAATCAATTGCTCCATGCATTACAACAGGTATATGAGCCTGTCTGCATAGTTGCTCCAGGTCTGCCCTCTTTTTCAGGAGCACTTCCATTATCTTGCTTGCTTTCAACTGTTGCAGCCTGGAGATCTCTGTCTCAATCTTGAAGAAAAGAACCCGAATCATAATATATCTGTGATAATTAGGATATAGGAGGAAAATGAGAACCATAAATATTTTGATAAACAGTGTATGTATTGATGCATATACACTATATAAATTTCAGTGTGTATATGCACTGATGCATATATACAATATTTTGGTGGTGTATGTGCGCAATCCATATATAATATACATATATATATATATATATATATATATATATATTGGTTCTCACAGTTCTCAAAGTATTATGGTTCTCATTTGAACTTTCTCCTTTGTATATATATATATATAAGGAATCAAACATTCTTGCTCAACTAAATCTACTCACAAACTTAATGGACTCCAAAGAGAGAGCATTAGGTTCAGTGACTTCATTCTCTGAGGCGGCTATATAAGATGTAACATGTTGAAATGGTTGTTGCTCCTCATTTGATATGTCCATCAAATTCCAGAGCTCCACCATAGTTGTTGCAAGATCTTGAAGCTGGAAGCAATTACAAAATATGAACGATAAGGAAGTTGTTGAAAATAATGGAAAAAGTATTTTCAAACTGCCCAAAGCACTAACCCTTTGCAATCTCTGAATCTTGACCTCATTCAGCCTACAGACTGCATTAGACAACCTCTCTATAGTATCAGTGCTTATGCTCTTTTTGCTACCAGAATTGTCCAGAGTGGGATGAATCCCACTAATTGTGTTTCTGAAATCCATTCCAAGCACCACACAAAGTGTATGAAGAGTTTTCAAGTAGCCTAGAACTTGCTTCAAGCGGTCACTCTGTAGAGAAATTGGGTTCCATAATTGCGCATCCTCATCGTCACTTTATTTAAATTGTCTCCATCTAATATCTACTTCAACTAGAAGGGAGACTCAAAATCTGAAGAGAATAAGAACATTTTAAGGCATACCTTCTCCTTTTCTAATGCATGTAACGTGGTCTTGAATTCTTCCAGTCTTCTCAAGGACAAATCAGATTCATCAATGACCGGCATGCATGATTTGTCCTCCATGGATAGTTCCTTTAACATATTATGTATTTGATCAAGGATTTCTGTGAATTGAAGCTTCCTCTCGCTTTTCTTCTTCTGCATCGTTTCTAGCTGTTGCAAAATGGATGCAAGCTCTTTCTTTAAACTACTTGGCTCAAACTGTTAGGTAAAACAAACCAGGGATTATTTTTCATTACCTGATACTCCCTCCGTCCCAAAATAAATGTTCATAATGAAAAAGGTATGCAACTTTAGAAATGTGTAATCATTACACTTTTTAATTAACTAAACAACAATTTTATCCTACAATAATAGGGGGAGTAATGAATTTCTCCATCTCATAATTAAGGCAGAATTGGAAAGTAGGTGTTTACTTTTGAAAGTGGACACCTATTTTGGGCAAACCAAATAGAAATGTGAACACTTATTTTCGGACGGAGGGAGTAAATCCTATGCATGAGACATGAGTACAGCATGATGAAACAGAAGCACTGGTTCACCAACCTTCTTCATAGACAAGGATTGCTCTCCTAATGAAGCACATATATGTGCAAGTTCTGCTTCTGAATCAGCAATAGTTTGGACCAGTTGAGCTTGAAAACGGCTTGCCTGATCCACTTTTCTTCTATATGCCTCCAAGCACTCTTGTTCCAACTCAAGAAGCATCTTATCCCTATCTTGTTCAGACTCTCCCACTTCATTCCATATTTTCTAGTCCAAGGCATAACCGATGAGGTGTTGTCTTAGAATTATTATCACTAAAGCAAGGTTCTAGAGAAAATATTGCAACAAATGCTCACAAAATAAGAAGATATTAATCAAACCTGCAACTCAGTTATGAGAGATACACATGTTGTCTCCTTAGGATTCACTGATGATTAAGATAATTACATTGCTCAGTTCACACAGATAATTAAAAGAAATAAGAAGCATTTTGAATAGCACTTGAGACTTCAGAAAGGTATATGTTGTTTTTTATTTTGATAAAGAGAACATACAAAGGAATCTGCAATTGATGAGATAATGCTGTCTGTAAAATGCTGATACCTAGAAACAAACAGGTCACCCAGGTTTATAGGGAGGAAACCAACTATGGTCTAGTGATATAACATGTATATATGCAATAAACATGATTAGTTCTGCCCATCTATTATAGAATGCAATTTTCTCCTATTAATTGTACAAAAGATGGCATCTTCCAAGGAGGATATGTTAGAGATAATGGCCCACAATTCCAATATAACAGGATAAGAGATTGTTCATAAGTCATAACCAATTCACTTCAGATCCCCAGAAAGCAGTCAAATAAGGAATTCTATCCTACTTAACTACCAGAAAGAAAGAGCATTTCATGTAAAATGTTTCCCTGATTTTGCCTTCATGTACTCCATGGATCCCACCCTTATTAGAAAACCAAACCATTCTATCCCACCCTTATTAGAAAACAGATGCTACACTTGAGCTTAACCAAAAGGCCTAGAAAGGTACTCTAATTAAATATCAAACTTTTAACCTATGCTTTTGGTCCCCAAATGAAATTTTCCCAAATTACCTCAGTCTAGGTTTATATATAAAAACAAAAAAGAATAATTACACCTTTACTGACTTTTTGTGCTTAAACACGCACTTAACTACAATTATATACTTCTCGCTTGATGAATTTCTACTCTAAACGCAACCTAGCATATTCTATGTTGACGACAAAATGAACTGCGATTTTCATCAATATTTGGGCTATGTACAAATACAATACGTAAATTATTAGGTTTTACTTTATTTTGAGAAGTTAAAGACCCGATGGCCGATGAACTCTAAAATTTCATCGACTAAAATTTCAAGTTCAAAATTGACATAAGTCGCTTAAACTCTATAACTACCACCACATGCAGAAAGATATTGTTTGTAAAACATTCGTATCGATTCTGAATGTGATTGATAGAAGATCAACTTCACCAACGATTCAAATCAAAAGCGTCAAACCTGATCGATTGAGTGACATCCTGAGAATCAAGCTTCAGACGTTTTCTAGGCCACTGATGAACAATTTCCACCGGAACTCGATTTCGCCGGTGAATGATGAGATTATTCCGGCAAGTGATGAAGTCAACTAGTCAAGTGTGATAGGGACGGAAACGGAACGATGATCGTTTTTTGTTTATAGAAAGAGCGCAAAGTTAGCGGGGATTTCAGTCGTTATACTTCTTTCCCATTTGTATTTGAAAATTTGAATTAAATTACCAAAAGTAAAAAAGAAAAATTATATCAAAATAAAACCAACTTTCACCTTATTCTTATTTTGAAGAATCAACTTTTAAAATCTTCATTTAGAGGTTTCTATCAAACTTTTTTTTATTTAAAGGTTTGATTGATCTATTGAACAGGTGACAGGTAATTTAAGGGTCTCTATCAAACTTTTGGTTTGATTTGCCAAATTTGATTTATATTTTAATATTAATACAGATTAGTTATATAAAATTTTTGAATGTGATATTTAATATTTATTTTTTATTGTATTAATTAATTTTTTTCTATTAAATTGATTTTTTTTATTGCATTAGTAAAAAACAATTTTTATTGTGGTAATTTGGATTTTTTTGAAAAAATCTTCAATTTGATATCTGAATTTAAAAAAACGATATTTGAAATAAAAATTAGATTTTATTGCATTAATTTTTGAAAAAAACGAATTTTAGTTATTTTTCTATAATTATTTTGTAAGTTGGTTCCCCAAAATAACGATTTTGAAAGTTGATTCTCTAAAATATGAATCAGGTGAAAGTTGGTTACATTTTGGTGCAACTTTCTCAAAGTAAAATGGTGAAGAATTAATTACAGAACAGGTCCTTATACTATTAGCCAACTTGCGATTTAGTCCTTTAACTTATAAATGCTTCTGTATTTAGTCCTTCAACGAAAATATTCTCACGGTTCATGCAGGATGCAATTCGGAGATTTTGTTGCCGTTTATCAAACGCTTACCAACAATAACTACCCTCTCATTTATCTTCTCAAGTAACATTTCCGGACATCAAAATTATTGGTAAACGTCTTTTACTTGGTAAGCGCTTACTAGATAAGAGTTGCCTCCCTCACTTACCTGGTAAGTTCTTGGCCATTGATGTGCTTCTTACCGGGTAAGATTTTTGATCATTGTAATGCTCATTCAGTAAGATAAGTGACATCTGGCAGGAGCTTATTCGATAAGCGTTTATTAAACGGTCTCGGAGTCTGGTAGTGGATTATCAAAATTCATCATTCATCGTCGTTAAAATATAAATTAATTGTTTTAGTCTGGTCTCGGAATTTACCCTAATTTTTTTTCTCTATTTGTGACTTTTGTGATTTACGCCTAGTTTTATCGTCTTTCATTGTCCCGGTGTTTCTGTTTATGTTGAACATGTGCTCGGTTTTCTTCACGAGCGTCAACGGAATTTTCTCGCCTTTTCATGCTCATTCATGAATCCAGTTTATCTTCTTTATGTACTTTTCGAGCAATCAATACGATATCCATTTGATTCAAAGACAAATCCATTGACTTCTATTTGAACCCGTCTTTTAGGTCTGAGTTGTGTCAATTAGAGTTGGAGACGTGTGATTCACAAAAAGGTTGAGATCATATATATATATAGGGAAAAGTACAATAAAAACCAATGGACTTTCTTGTTTTGAATGATTAAGTTTTTGGACTTTTTTTTGGAACAAATAAGTCCTTGGACTTTTTTTTGGAACAAATAAGTCCTTGGACATTCCAAAACATGTTAAATAAGTCCTTAGACAATTTTTTTGGAACAAATAAATCATTGGACATTCCAAAATATGTTAAATAAGTCCTTGGACAATTTTTGAAACAAATAAGTCCTTGGACATTCCAAAAAATGTTAAATAACTCCTTGAACAATTTTTGGAACAAATAAATTCTTGAACAATCCAAAACATGTTAAATAATTTCTTGAACTTTTATAAAACATGTTGGATACATTCTTATGACTTGTACAACTAGTTAAAGTGGTAAAATAGTRGAAAAAAATCCGGAAAAAACCCCAATGAACATTCATATTTTGAACGGTAAAGTGGTAAAATAGTGAAAAAAATCCGAAAATATATTTTGTCAGTGATTTTTTAAACTAAAAAAATAAAAAAAATTATAAAATATATTATTTTTAATTAAAATAAATTTCACCAGTAATCTTTTTAAATCTTTTTTTAATTTAAAAAATCACATACATGATATATATATTTTTAATTAAAATAAATTTAA